AACATCGTAGAACGTACCAGAATCATGTGAGGGATGGCAGGATAGCCAAGTAAGTACAGAACAAAAGAATGTACGTATATGGTAAGTAGGAAAGTCCATGCTGGCGTATGGTAGACGCACAGCCACTATCACTGCCACTCCCGGTCCGGCACAGCCGTAGACACAGAAGTTCAACATGAGCGATGTCCCTCAGGTCGCTACTGGGGCGGTACTTATACTCTCTTCGAGGCCGCCTGGATCAATGGAAGCTGGCGCGGAGATGGACAATAGCGGGCGGAGCCTCAGCCGCCAAAAGAGTGCCACCCCTGGCAAATGAGGGCGGGTCTTAGGGCGTCCGCCAGATGCCCGGCTAGAATACCGACAATTAGGCGGGGTCCTCGGGAGCCATTGTACAATGTGGTTCTATAGCCGGCCATTCACAGATCGTTCTGCGCAACAAAGAACTGCATTAGCCATCACCGTCATCCGGTACATAGCGAGCCTGAGGGTATTGATTGGGGCACACCAACGTCCGAACCGCACTTAGTCGATAATACTGAGATAGGCCTAGCTCCCGCCGACGTCGCAAGCCTTGAGTTGTCGCCGAGAGTTTTCGTCGTGGCGGTGAAGGCCATTTTCGATCCACTCGCACGAATCGATGCCCATGGACGTGAGCGCCGGACGCCAACGACCTAAAGTCCCGAATTAGGGGCACAAGAACAATGACGGCTTGGAGCTCGCCTCGAGGGGGTCGTTGGGTCCGTGGCGTACGGGCCAATTTTCCAGAACTTTGCGCCGCGGTAGACGGATGAAAGCTCAAGCGAGGCTGCGGGGGACAATGGGTCGGCCATTCTGTCATGCCCATATCGCATGAGCGACCCGTCATGTTCCGATGGGGGTTAGAACAATGGTCGCATACCCACAATGGCCCCCGGGAGACTGCGCCGACAGCGTTAGCCAGAGCTCCTGCAGTATAAAAGAGGGCGTCAGCAACACGATCGCCTCACCAACACCCCCACAACTCACTCACCACTCCTCGCTCGTCCTTGATAGCGCACTCGACTCTTCTGCGGCCCCTATGCCGCCCGACCTCCAGGCCCCTCATCCGCGAGGGCGCTCACACCTCCCTCGTCGGACAGACAAACCCCTCATCAACCTCTTATCAACCTCTTATCAACCTCTTAGCGCGCTGGCCACCGCAGGCCACCGCTCGATGTTTACCTGGAAATCCGAGGCAGAGCGTGTACAGGCGCAAGCGGACGCAGAGTATGCGCTCCTGCTGCATCCGGAAACCCTCGCATGGCGCTTCCAGACCACGGGCCGCAAACTGGCACGTTACGTCGGGGAGGGCAAGAAGCATCTCTTCACCGTGAATCACCCGTACGCGTCCCGAGTTGTTACTCGACCGCGGCCATGCTTCAGGCGAACAGTCGAGCGCGTGCCGTACGACCCCTCCGGGCCAAGCAGTCGATAGTCCCTTCGAGCAGGCGTGAGTGGTAGTATGTTCTGACAATCGCGAGCGTGCTAACCTTGTCAATTCCTCGGCAGTGCCTACGGACCCTCCTGCGCATGTGTGGATGGCTGAAGTCTCGCCCCATACGCGAGTGTTGAGGATGGAGCGCGGTCCTCGCACGAGTTCCTGACCACGGTGCGACGCTGGAGCATAGCTCGTGCCGAACCTGGTAAGCCCGATTCCTCGTATCCTACAGGGGTAAAATGGGCTCACGCTACTACCCTTGACCGCAGATTATCCGCGCCCGACGATAGTGACCATCACGCCCTCTATGCAAAGACCGTTCGTGCTGGCGGAGGTCACCACCCCACATTCGATCGGCATGGGGGCGCTCGCCGCGTAGACTGACTCCAGCGCGATACCTCATGCATATTCCAGCCACCCTGCACATACCTCGACGGATCCGGCCCTTTACGCGCTGCAGCACCGGCTTCAAATGCTTTGGTGTTGGAGTTTGTAGAGATACCTAGACCCCGAGAGTAGAAGGTTTCAGGAGCATGCGCGCACAACTACGAGGGCTGCGATTACTCCTGGGACCTGGCGCTCTTGCCCAACCGGGTTTAGTACCGCATGCTGAACCTCTTCATCAAGATAGAACCCACCGTAGTAATTGTTGAAGTAGATGTCATAAAATCGCACCTCACTTTCTAATTATTCCAGTCGGCTGCAGTGTCGCGGCAGTTGATGGTTTAGACCAAGAAGCGAAGGTAAGTAAGGGGCTTCCTTGAGATTGTGAACGCAAGATCAGAATTGTTCAAAGTCCGATAAACAAGGCTACTTACCCTCTGCTTACCCGGCATTTCGCACGGCTACAACCCCGCGATCCTTCTCTGCTCCTCCGATGCAGCATGCCGCGCCTCGTCTGCTCTCGCCCACCCTCCGACGCTCTCTAGCTGTCGCATTCCGCCCGGCACATGCTCGCGCCTTCACCATACTCGCGCTTGAGTCCTCCGCGGACGATACCTGCGCGGCCGTCGTCACTTCCGACCGCCAAGTGCTCTCGAACGTCGTCAGTGGGTCTCGTGCACAACCCTCTGCCGCGCAGTGAAGCTCAACAATCAGAGTTACAATATATTGCGGAACATTGAGACTATAAAATTGGTATATTGTACTAAAGTAAACGACTAGTACGGCGCGAGCGTATCGGTAAGGAAGTAAGCGATGGTAGTACGCTAGAAAAGAACATTCAACACAGTACGTAGGACCGACGTCCGACCAACCACGAGAACATAGAAATAAGAATACCATATCGTGCAACGTCATGTTCAAAAGGAGGGATCGAGGGGGCTCAGCTCAGGTCGACCAAGAGGCTCGCGCCCTCGAAGAGCACGTCTTCCTCGAGCATGCTCTCCTGCGACGACGAGGGGACCGGCTCCCCGCGGTACACTTTCCTCCCGCTCGCCCCGCTGGAGGATGCCCCTGCGACGCGGCGCGGCTTCACGGTTGCAGGCGCGGGGAGCCGCTTGCCAACGGGCGTGGCGGAACCGGCGGGCACCGCCCACGCATCTTCGACGTCCATCCTGACATCATCGTCTAGATCGGCGGCCGCAGAGGAAGCGAGCGAGGCCTGGGACGACGCAGCCTTCCGCTGGCTGTAATACGACGGCTGGCCGTTGTGCATCGGCATGTCCCACCACTCGCGCTCGTCATCAGCCGCTTCGTCTTCGCCTTCGCCGTCGGAGTCGCTCGAGATGCTGATGACCTCCGCATCGAGTGTGGCTTTCCGGCGGGGCGCTGCGGAGATGGAGCGCGAGACGGATCGGATGGGAGCGGGAGAGGAGGACGGCAGTGGGCCGGGTACGGGCGACGAGCGCGGGTTGTATACCGGGGAGGAGGACCGCGCGGGGGGAGCGCTACTCTGCCAGGGCAGGTCGGGCTCCTCCGAGGAGTCGCGCATCTCGTCGATGTCGATCCTGCTGCGCTTCGCGGGGCTACTCGAGACGGATGCGCGCGCCTTTCGTTTCGTGCCGCTGGTCGCAGCCTGGTAGTCGCCGAACATGTTCCAGTCGTCTAGCTGAGCGAGCAGTCCTCCACGGCGCGAAGGCCCGACGCTGGCCGAGGCGGCAGTCTGGGGCGTGTTCTGGGGATCAGGTACGGCGCGTTCTTTCCCTTTGCGAGTGCTGGTGTTCACTGGAGGTTCGGTTTGCACTGGCGTTCCTTGCGGTCTCGCTGTGGAGAGAGAGGGACATGCACTAGCGGCAGCGGAGAACCCGGTGGCGGCACCAACAGCAGAGGGTCCCACAGCAGCAGCAGAAGCGACGGAAATCGCAGAAGCAGAAGCGGCGGCGGCGGCAGCAGCAGCAGGAGCACGTCTCGCCCTCGGCTTCGCGACGGGCGCCGGAACCTCATCATACTCCCGATACGCACCCCCTCCCGCACGCTCGACCGCCGCATAGTCCACCTCCGTCGGCAAGTCGTCGCGCGCGCCCGTATCGATGATGAGTGCGTCCGGGTCGTCCGTCTCCGGCCAGGTGAATACGAAGCCGCAGTTACGGAAGGGCAGCGAGGACGGGGCGAAGACGTCTACGGGCGTGGCGGGGGGCGCGAAGCTTGCGTGCGGATTTATGCGGAGGATCTCTTTCTCGAGGGCGGTGGGGCGCGCAGGGGCTTTGCCTTTGCCTTTGGAGGCTCGGGCGCGCGTCGGGGCTGGAGCGGGGGCGGGGACGGCTGCGACTTGGACAGCGGCGGGAGCGGGAACAGGAACGACGACAGGTACAGCAGCAGAAATACAGGCGGGAAGAGCTGCAGGACCGGCAACAGGGATGGCGGCGGGAGCGGGAACGGCACGGGCTGGAATGGCGGCGTGTCTGGCTGCAGGAACGACAACACGAGCGGGAACCGGAGCTGGAACAGGAACCTCTGCGGGAACAGCGGGAACAGCGGGGGCAGGAACAGCGGCGCCAGTCGCACGCTTCTTGGGAGCCTTCTTCGCAGCCTGCTTCTCCTCGTACTCGGCGACGAGCGCGGGGTGGACGTGCCGCATGATCGACGCCGGGATCCACATGCGGATGTTCGCCTCCGGGTCCTTCGCCTTCTTCGCTGTGCCGGCGTCGTCCGCTGGATCGTCGCCGTCCGGTTCTGGTTGTGCTTGTGTTTGTGGCTGTAGTCGCGGCGGGTCCTCGGACTCGGACTCGGTGTCCTCGTACCGTTTGCTGCGCCGTCCGGGGTTCATGTCCGGCGCCCAGTCCTTGCCTTTTCCTCTCCCTGCGCCTCTGCCTCTGCCCCTGCCCACACCTCTGCCTCCGCCCCTGCCCGCACCTCTCCCCATGCCTCTCCCAGCGCCCCTGCCAGCGCCCCTACCGCGCGACCCGCTCGCCCCAGCAACAGGCTCCTTATTCCTGCCCTTGATCCCAAGCTCAGTGATGATCGCGAGCTGCTTCACGCACACCTCAACGCGGTACTCAAGCAGCTTGTCCGTCGACACGTGCTGCCGCGTGCTGTGGATCGTCACCACGAGCGGATGCTCCTCCCGCACAGGCCCGCGCGCGCCTCGGAGCAACTGCACCTCGTCCTCGTCGACCTGCGCGGGCGGCTCAGGCTCAGGCGTGCCCTGGCGCGCGAACGCGCCGGCAATGCTGCGCATCTGCGCCTCCTTGGGCGGGGCCCTCTTCGCCTTCCGGGGCGCCGCGCACGTGTTGACGAGCGCGGCGGGCGTGCCCACCGCCTGTGCTACGGAGGGCTGCCACCCGGCGCGTACGAGTGCGTCCCCGGGAAGCATGCCCGCGGCGATGCGGCGGTCCGTCTCGCGCTTATCGGTGATGAGCGCGGCTCGCCGGAGGGCGGTGAAGACGACGCCTTCGTAGACGAGGCTGGGGAAGCGGTACAGGATCTTGGAGCGGTAGCCCCACTCGGTGAAGTGCTGCTCGCAGAAGCCTGCGAGCGCGGGGACGTCGATCGCGACGCGGTCCGCTGGAGGGCCGCCGCCGTTGGCGAAAAGCGCTGGGCGCACGTACTTTGCGAGCGTGTCCATGTTTGGAAAGTTTGCGGGGATGGTGGTTGACGGGCGGCGAGTGGTCATGAGGCCGCTCGCATTTGTCTGCACCTCGAGCGTCATGTCGGCGCGCCAGCCAGGGAGCCATGCTTGGAAGGTGGCGGCGTCGAGCGAGGTGTAGTTGCGAATAAGCTGGTCGCCGTAATCGAGGCGCGCGAGGGCGTGCGCGACACCGGTGCCTACGCCGAAGACGCCCTGCTGGAGATGAGTGCGAGCGCAGAACGGATAGGAAACCACGTACGGAATCGTAGTCTCCGCCCGAGAGCAGCGCGATGAGGATGAGGCCGCCGCGCGAGAGACGCACCTCGGGGTGGTCCCTAAACGCTTGGGCTGTGTACACAGTGGCGTGCTGATCGCACGGCTTGCCGTTGAGGTTGAGCGCAGGGTGCGCCTTGTTCCCCGTCAGGTTCAGGCTCACGCTATGGGCGCGTGAGCCTTCGAAGGCAGAGAGAGAAGAGAGGGGCGCACTTTTTGAGGAGCATGCGCGCGCCAAAAAGAAAGGTGTCGGCGTCGTCAGTGAGGACGGCGTCGATGTGGCCCAAGGCGTTGAGGCGGCCGAGCTCGGCCTCTGCTTCTCCTTTGGCCTGTACGGTGTGAGACGCGATTTCGCGAAGTTCGAGCGAACCGACTAAGCACGCACCTCGCGGCAATCCATACCAAAAATGCGAATCAGCTTCTGGAAGTCGGGAGCGAGCTGGTGGGTGCCGCTCTTGCCCATGCGCGAGCCGCGCTTCTCCTGTGGGCGGGACCGGCCGTCGAAGATGAAAAGAAGCGTGAAGGGGAACCTAGACAGCCTGCAGAGGCGATAGAAGAGCATGCAGAGCTCGGGGGAGTCGCCGCGGTACTCGTCCTTGCCGCCGGCGCTGTGGAGGGCATGGCGGAGCCAGATGCCGGCGTCGACGCCGAGGCGGAAGGAGCGGGTGCCGTGCGCGTTCTTATCGAAGCCGTCGACGACGGCGAGCTGGGCGAGGGCGCGGGACTCGCCGGCTTTGTTGAGGATCTGGGAGGGCGGGGAGTGGGTCAGCCGGGCGTGTTCCCGCGGAGAAGGGGAGAGTGACGTACTTCCCAGAGCTTCGGGACGCCCATCGGAGAAGAGTCGGGTTCGGTGCGGATGAGGAGAGACGAGGAGGAGTCGCTAGGAGGAGCGTGGCGGGCGAGAAAAAAGAGGGAGAGAGGCGCGCATGGCCCAGGTTTGCAAAACGACGAACGCAAGATGCATGCTCGAAGAGAGCGGTTGCAACCTCGGGGCCATCCCCCTTGCCTTTTTTGGCGATTACCGCGTGCAGTCACGCGTGACTGCACGCGTCTCATTAGTCCCGCCCTCCCTCTCCCTCCCGTCCTACCTCCTGCTCTCAGGAAATGTATAGCATAAATGGACTGCACGAATGTGATGGATGTATTTGCGAATAACGGAGAGCTCAAGTGACGTGCAGTACTAACTAAACGAGCCAAGTTGTGGACGCAGCTTACGTAACCACCTCACGTTGGCGTACCGGCGGATGGAGGCTTTCTGGGTGTCTTTTGCGCGTCGCGAACCAGAGTTACCCTCGGTTTTACAGAACGTCAGTTTCTCCAACTAGTCGCCTACATGGCCGTAGACGCCCGTAAGCGCCCGGATTTTTGGAGACCACGTAGTCGTCAAAATACTTTTACATTTCGTGCAAAACATTTTGTGTGGCCGCGTAAAAGTAAAAAGGAACTTTACTTCCATGGCCATGGCCTCGCACACATTCTGTCGTACATATACAGACCCATTTCAATGGCAACAAACCGTCCACTCCCCGTCCACTTCCGTGCATCACCGGTCCGCTGTCCGGGGCGGTCTGTCCGCCGGCACGTAGCCGCCCGCTGCTCGTGCCTGGCGACGCGTCATCGATCACCTCGAGTCTCCCTCGCCCGCGACGCGCGTCGTCTGCATCGTTCGACTGTCTCTCCACTCTGCAACCACTCTGGCCCCTAGCTTCACTCCATAGGCCCTGTTCGCGATGACCCGCCCTCTTCGGGATGCGCTCTCACTTCTGCTTAGTCACCCCACACTGAGCGACTCTCTCTCACTGTCGGCGCTTATCACCTTTGTCGGCATCATAGCCCGCCTGCGCAATCGCCTCGCTGGATCGCGCTCAACATCTTCGGCGGCGGTGCGACCCCATACACTTCCTCTAGCGGTGACGTCCTTCATTGTCTCGGCCCTCAAGATATCCTCCGCCCATGTTGCCGAGCTGTGGGCCACCATAGGAGATGTTGTTTGGGCAGTTGACTCGATGGATCCCGACCAGATCTCGATCTCTCGGGATCTTGTTGATGTCTTTTTGGAATATGGTGCACAGTATCAGATTGGTACGTCTTGGTGTATTTCCTGCAGCTGTGAGTACCACTAATGTGCTGTTCATGCAGGCTTGTATGACTTCTATCCCCCTACCACCGTCTGTCTCTCGCCACACTGTATCTACATTCAAGGTCCTCGTGCTGGTGCTCAGCTCAACCTGGGCCGCTCGATCTCGACCAATGTTGTATTCTACACAAGGGACCTTGGGCCCGTCCCTGCTGTATGCCACTCGGCCAAATGCGACCGTATGTACATTACCTTCTCATCTGCGGCTCCTCCCGACAGAGGGCTTAGTAGATTATGTAGACTGCGGTGTACGATACTATCCCAACTACTTTGTCGACCCCACCACAGAAGCACGTTCATTCTACGAAGGCCTGCCTTCTGCCATACACGTCACCACACATGTCTTTGTGGAACTATCACTATGTATCCGCTTTGCCAATGCTGCGGCGTGTGCATGGTAAGTCTATTATATCAATATTGTCCTATAATACCTAAGTAATTATATTTGAGGGTGTCTTTTACAAACAATGCTCGGTTGTACAACCTTGAGCATGAAGACATCCTGAAGCGCTTTCCAGCTGGCTGGTCCATCGACCCAACTCTGACCTCTGTCCTTGTTGGTGATGCATTCTTTATCCACGGTCTCCTGCGCGATAAGGATGGCCGTCGTGGTACTCTCGTTTTACACAGCCAGGGTAATCAAGCTATGCGGCTTGACCCTGCCCTTCAAGAGCGGACAGCTCTACTGGTTGGGCCAGCTCGTGAAGCATGGAACCATCTATGTGACAAATGCTGTGCGGCAAGAACTGTTAATGGTCAACATGGTAAGTATATAATACCTAGCGCATACATATCACTAAAATAATATGCTAGAATTCATCCGGGCCGTGGTCATGGATGGAATCACAATCGGAAGGCCATGCTGTAACTTCCACGACTGCCAGGAACCGCTGTCTTCCCAACGTGACCGCTATTGCGAGAAACACAAATATCTCAGCAGTATTTGTGTTGTGGTTGGATGTGACTTGCCAGCCCCTTCTCCCCACCAGACCTGCATGGAGCCCTCTCATCGTGCCCTCGAGGATCCTTCAGGACGCTCAGCACTCTTTGTGCTCCAAAGACGATTGGAACGTCTCCGTGCTGCCTCACTGGAGGACCATGGTGATGGCATAACTGATGAACTCATTGACATTGATGCGGATGGAGAGTGTCCTACAAAGCCTGATGAAGGCAATACCAAGCCACGAGCACGGTTTGGACGCCGCCGCACCCATAACGAGCAGCTTGTTGTTGCTACATGTGGTGTCATCTTGGGACGGGCTACCATGTATGGGTCTGAGGGTTTAGATGGGACCAGGGTGAGTTATGCCATGACTTTTTCCAGAGCTATTATTAATCATAACTCAATGCAGCTGTTTCTACACGGCCTATTCCCCACACCAAGATCAGTACCACAAGTCATCTTCTATGACACTGCATGCAACCTCAAAAAACACATCCTCAATATCGGGGACCACCATTTCGATCGCTGTGCCATGCCTGTCGACCCCTTTCATGCCAAGACCAAACACAAGGAGACGGATGCCTTCTGTGGACAATACTGCAATGTGGCCTTGTTTCCTGAACTCCTTGATGGCTCTCGCTGGCGCTTCAACTCCTCAGCTGCGGAGATGACAAATGCATGGTTTGGAGGGTTTCAGTCTATTGTTTGGGAGATGCGGGCAGTGAGGTATGATTTCTTTTGGGATGAGATGATCCGGATCAGGAATGAGATAATTATAGGGGAGCTACAAAGGTCTAAAGCCAATCCTGTCTTGGTCCCAAGGGAATACTTGTTGTAATTATCAAAATTTTGTAGACATTGACTAGTAGCACAAGGACATTGTGGAGCGCTTGGAAGCTGGTCGCATTGTTGATCGGAAACACCGGTGATCGAATGAAGGAAAAAAAGTGTTCGGTGATGCGCACTCACCACGCCTGCAGCCTGCTCCAGTGTGGGCACCGCTCTTGATCTCAACTGCCCCGACACCTACCTCCACACAGGTGTTGGGCCCCAACTCCCGCCCAGTCTCTCACGCACGTCCCCCACTTGCCACCCACGAGTTGAGCCAAGTAGGCCGCAACGGGTGGCTTCTACTGGGGAGGCCAAGCCCCACCATGCATTGAGGCTCGGGGCACACTGCACCATGCCCGATGCGCGCACCGCTGATGCACACTCACCGCGCCTGCTGCCCGCCGCGGTGTGGGCACCGCTCTCGAGCTCACTTGCCCTGATGCCTATCCCCGCGCAGGCATCGGCCCCGACGCGTGCCCCAAAGACTCGAGCCCCGAAGGCCCCCCGGTTTCTCGCGCCCGAAGACCGATTTGCCACCCGCGAGTTGGGCCACGTAGGCCGCGACGGCGGGGACGCCGAGCCTTGCCAAGCACCGGGGCTTGGGGCGCACTGCGGTACACCCGATACGCGCGTCGGGGTCGCGGCGCATACACCCCCGTCCACCAATCACACCGCACGGTACGCGTGGCCCCAACAGTCTAGGCAAGGCCCGTAGAGCACGGCCCCTGTAGGGGCCCGACCATTGCGCCCGTCGCACCTTGCGTGATGGGTGCATCTTTCATTTCCTATCCTTCCCGTACGGCTCCGGCCCATCCTGTATATACGCGGGCCCGAGGAGCTCCAGGAAATCCCACTTTCTCTTACCCCGTCAGAGCTCAAGTTTGCAATTGTGACGGCGTCTGCGACCGCGACTTCAACAGCGACAGCAAGTTACCTCCCCTACAGCTTCCCCAACGTCCTCGTCTCAATGCGTATAGTGAGTACTCATCCCGAGGTTTGCATTCCCCCTATCCCCCGTGTTGCGCCCCATATAGCACGTATCGCCTGCGCAACTCCTTCCTCCCCGGTCAGGAGCGATAAGCTCGCTCGGCCCCTCCTCGCGCCCTCCGCGTCGTAGGGAACTCGGGATCATACTCGGAATCCCCCGCTCACACAAGACACTTTTCGGGTCTCATCCTCTCAGCCCATCGACCCCAATGTCCTAGGGCCCATTATGGGAGACTTGAATGCAGCACTGTGCATCATTTTTATTTAATATATTGTACTCCAATGGTTTGACCTCTTGGATTTTTCAGTCTATTTAATGATACCTGTTCCTATTTTGAAGATAGTTGATATGCTTCCCCAAACCTCCCATATTACATGGTTCATTTGCCAAGTTAATAGTGACCTGAATGATATTATATTTGGATGAACTGATTAAGAGCCCAGAAAAGCATTATATCAGTGGACTAAGCTAGTTGAGACTAGTGGGTATATGTTGTCTAAGGAGCAAAGGGGTTCAAGTTCCAATCATTAACCTCCATAAAAGTAGAGCTGTCAGCAGAGATATCAAACTGCTGCAAATCAATGTCAGACTGGGGGAATAGCTGCAAGTCATCAGTAGAGTAGGTAGTTGAGGGAGAAAGTGAGGAATTATTCTGTGGGGTATGGTTTAGCCAGATATCAGAGTCAAATTGTGCATCATCAAAAGTAGGGGAAGATGGTGCTTCAGGAATATTAGTGGGCACACTTGGAAGATTGTCAGCCAAATTAGCGAAAAATAAGCCCCATGTATCAAGTGAGATGTCAGAATTAAATGTGTCAAGGGATGGCAGGGGAATATGTATAGGGTCAAGAGGGTCAATGAAAGAGGCAACAAGGGATTCAGCAGGTGTGGCCTGAACATCTGTTACAGACTGCTCAAACGATGATCCTAAAAGCACAATAGTAAGCAAGCTGTGAAACAAAATGCAAATGAAAACACACCAGTTAAGTTCAAAGGGCCAGCAGGTGCCTCCCATGGAAGGACTGTCTTGTTCTTTGGCATACCTGCAACTTGCGCTCTATAGGCACTGAAGACAGCGCCTGATGCATGATAGCTGTCCCACAACTGGGGATCACCACAGCGGAGAAGCTGCTTGATGTTGTTGAAGGTTGCCTTAGCACAAGTGACCCCATGCAGATTGTTCCCAAGCGCAACAACAACGTCAACACGGGAGTCCCTTCGTAGAGTGTCGGTGGCCTCCACGAAGTTCCACACAGCAGAGAAGGAATAGCCTGAAGGAAACTTTGGTGGATGTGTGGAAGGAGTGGAAGGGACATATGCGGATGGACCAGTGATGGGGGCAGTGGTGTTGACGACATCCAGCTTAGTGCGCTTGGAAGGATGCTGCGGGGAGCCAGGGCCAGGAGAAGATGACCGGGGATGCTTAGAGGACGAAGCAGGAAGCGCAACCCCCAGTGCCGGGAATGTAGGACAGTCTTGATCGGAGAGACCTGATATGCGCAAGCAAACTTCACTTGCACCTGAATCAATGCTGTACGCAGACTCGAGGTCGAGAGTGATCCAGCCAGATGACATGGGACTGAAGACATCACAATGGGTGGTGTCGGAAGGGAGAGTGGTTACGAGAGCAGGAAGCTCTGACAGCACATAGTGTGGATGAGCAGGAAGATATATGCGCAGCACAGTGGGGCACTCTCCAGACTAATAGATGATGCATAAGACCACATACAAAACATAGAACACAACCCACATACCTTGATCCATACTCGGAACTGAACGGTCTTCTTCATGCGCTCGGAAACACGAAGGACATCAAGACGCTTCACAGACTCCTCATCACGCAGGACGTCATCCTTACAGCGCTGGAGATATGCACCAAGACTCTGGTTCTGGCTCCACATCGAGCTGAGCGGGTTTGCAAATGACGAGGACGCAGATGTCCGAGATGATGTGGGCGGGGGAGCCGGCACCAACGCAGTGGACGAGGACAGAGATGAGGATGAGGATGCCGGAGTGTTGACATTGACATTTGATGGATGATCAAAATCGAATGTATTAGTTGGATCATGTACATGTGAGGCAACAGCAGCGGGGTCATGGAACGTGAGGGCGGTGGAGACGGCAGACATCGTATTGACAAGACTGGGGACATCGGGCATGGAACCGGAAGCGGGGCCTGGAACAGCGAAGACAGAGTCGGAGACAGCGGGGATGATGCCAGCGGGGAGCGAGCCTGGGACAGTGACGGGCACACTGATGCCGGCAGAGGCGCGGGCATCTCTACGAAGCTTCCGGTGGTACTGGCTGTGACAGGACGCAGACGTCCGACCGACGCAGCAAGGGACGCAGACGTCGCAGTTGCTGGTGGCCTTCCCCTTGCACCCCACAGCACCGGCTCTTGCACAGACGGCCTTGGGTGCTCGGGACATCTAAGATGATGATCAAGTGAGATAAGCATGTGATGATGAAAGATGAAGAGGGCGTACTCACAGTAAGTAGGCAAAGGACGCTCGGGCTTAAGCCTATACAGAGCGCTGGATACCTACACCACGGGGAGGATTTAGATTAGCTCGAGAAACGGAAGATAACACTGAGTCAGCGCACCTGAGAGCCGAAATCCACCTAAGCCCGCAGCAATCAACACCGAGGGTATGCGCGGGTAGTCTCTGATGCCCAACGTTGCCGAGTGTGAACCAGGTGGGCGGGGCCGCAAGAGCACAAGTGAGAACAAGAATAGGAACAAAGCAGATGTGGCAGAGGAAGGAGTGGGCGACTCAGCGAGTGTGTGGGGTAGTCCGGTGGGCAGAGACGTCGAGCGGGCAGAGCTTATGAACGGCGTCGAGGAGGTGGTGGGCGTCGAGGAGAACGACCATGGCCACGACCACGGCCACGGCCACGGCTACAGGCGCTAGAACGGCCATGGCCACGCGCTAATTTGGCCACGATCAAAATTTTATCTCCGGAGATCTCCGGCCGTGGCCGTGGCCGCCCACAGAGCCGCCTATGGCCACGACCACGTAGGCGACTCGGCGCAGAACCTAACGTTCCCCGGTTTTAGTAGCATTTAGGGTGCCAAAAGTATTCCGGACTCTCCTGACTTTGAATTACGGCTTCGAAGGCGTCCTAGCACGGTTGGCAGCGGCAAAGGCTCGAATGTCGCCCAGGGTGACGCTCACTTTTCGGACGCACAGCTAGCGGCCACAGAAGCGATACATCTTCGAGTGCATGTTATCGTAGAATAGGTTAACGCCAAAGATGCTGCTGTGTCTGCTGCCGAGACCTGAGAGCTTCCGTGTATAAGCAGGCTCTTCATACGGTGCAGTGTGTAGATGCCATGACTATATTACGCCTTATTAGAAGATTCTAAACTACTGCTAGGCGGAGCCGGTACCTCCAGATCCTCCAGACTCCATTTAGGCCGCGACTCTATCGAATAGTCGTCCGTTTCCCCGCTCAAAAAGCGCTCCATCGACGCCCACCCGATCATCACTGCGTTGTCTGCACAGAACATGTCAGACTACCGGCGGGGGACGCATATCAGGACTAGCATACCTGTACAGAGCGACGGCGGCGGGAAGTTGAGCGGGATCCATTCGTCTGGACTCTCTGTGTCCAAACACACCCGTAACCTGCACAGAAACTCCGTTAGCACTATACCCACAGCACACAACCTACGCACTACGCACCTCTCCCGCAAGTACTGGTTACTCGCGACGCCCCCGCTCACGACCAACGCCCGCACTCGCACGTCCTGCCTTCGGCACAGCCGCATCCCCAGCACGAGCTTCTCCTCCAACTGCGCAACGGCCGCCTTCTGGAAGCTCCGCGCCAGCCCCAACCGCGCGCGCTCGTCCAGCACGCTGCGCTGCGTGTCCAGATACCGCTCCACCGTCGAGTGCAGGCCCGTATATGAGAACGCGAGCCGGCCGCGCATGGGACTCGGCATCCGGATCTCCGGCGCGTCGAGTGGGGCGGAGGCGCAGAACCGCTCGAGCGCGGCCCCAGCGGAGGTGCCGGCGAACGGGATGCCGAGGAGGCGCGCGACCTTGTCGTACGCGTTCCCGATGCTCTCGTCGAGGGAGGTCGCGAGGATGCGGAAGGACTTTGGGGAGGTCGCAAGGAGGAGGAGCGTGTGGCCCCCGGAGACGAGGATGGTGAGGAAGGGGAATTGGGGGCGCTCGGAGGGCGGGGAGGTGAGGAGGGGCGTTAGCGCGTGTGCTTGCTGCGCGCGAGTTAGCGGACGTGCAGGGGAGGGGAGGAGAGGGGTGGGCGTACCATGTGGTGGACGCCGACGAGGGGCTTGTTGAGTGCGGCTGCGAGAGAGCGCGCGGCGTTACCGCATACGCTGAGGCAGCCCGGGATGCCTGCGGGATGTCAAAACGTGCGCACACACAGAAGGACGCGACATACCTGGTCCCAGCGTGAATGCGATCCCGTCTACGTCGTTCACCGACATATTAGCTTCTCGGAGCGCTCTCTGGACCGCTCCTGGCTAGGTAGTAGCGGTTAGCACCCGTGCAGTGTGGAGAGGGCGGGGACGTGCCATATTGCGCTGGTGCGCATGTAACGCAATAAAGGGATGTATTCCGCCATACTCCTCCAGGCTTCGCAGTAGGATGAGCGACGTCGCGCGTGTGCAGGGGCGGGCCGGGACTCACAAGGCTTGCTGGCTGATCACGACGTTTGAGAGCACTTTGCGGTCGGAGGTGACGACGGCCGCGCAGGTATCGTCCGCGGAGGACTCAAGCGCGAGTACAGTGAAGGCGCGAGCGTGTACGGGGCGAAATGCGACAGCTAGAGAGCGTCGGAGGGGGGGCGAGAGCAGACGGGCCGCGGCATGCTGCATGAGAGGAGTGGCAGAGAAGGATCGCGGGGTTGTAGCTGTGCAACATTCAATGCCAGGTGAACGGAGGGTTAGTAGCCTCTCTCATCGGACTTTGAACAGTTCTTATCTTGCGTTCATAGTCTCAAGGAAGCCCTTACCTTCGCTTCTTGGTCTGAACCATCCACGCCGCCCATCCGACCGGAATAATAAGAAAGTAAGGTGCAATTTTATGGCATATACTTCAACAATTACTGCAGTGCTCTACAGTGGTGGCTCTATCCCGATGAAGTGGTTCGTTTCGGGGTGGGTTCAGCATGCGGTAAACCCGGTTGGGCAAGAGCCCAGGAGTAGTCGCAGCCCTCGTAGTTGTGCGCGCATGCTACTGAACCCTTCTACTCTCGCGGCCTAGGTATCCCTACGAACTCCAACACTAAATCATTTGAAGCCGGTGCTGCAGCGTGTAAAGGGCCGGATCCGTTGAGGTACATGGGTGGCGAGTAGGGGAGTGTAGGTTGCCCCCGAGCTAGAATATGGAGGTATCGCCCAGCTCAGTCTACGCAGCGAGCGCGCCCATGTCGAGCGAGTGTGGGGCGGTGACCTCCGCTAGCACCAAAGGTCTTTGCATGGACAACATAGTGCTCATGCGCGGATGGTCTGCGGGAAGAGGCAGTCCGGGTCAGCGTGAGCCCATTTGATCCCTGTGGGATACGAGGAAGTGGGCTTACAAGGGCTGCGATCCAGCATCGCACCATGGTGAGAAACTCGTGCGAACACTACCCTCCCTCAACACACACGTATGCGGCGAGACTTCAGCCGTCCACGCACGCGCAGGAGGGTCCGTAGGCACTGCCGGGAACATTACAAGGTCAGCACGCCCGCGATGGACAGAACATACAACCACTCACGCCTGCCGATGAGGTCAATTGCTTTTCTCGGAGATGTAGTCGTAAGGCTCTCGCTCGATGCCCTGAGCCTGAGCCAGCGGTACCGCGAGTGCCTCTTCGCCTGAAGCATGGCCGCGATCGAGTGGCAAACCGGGGCTTACGGGTGATCCACAGTGAAGAGACGCCCCGTGTTCTCCTCGACGCAACGTCCAGGTGCGGACCGCGGTATGGCGGTGCAGACGAAGGTCGCGAATCCAGCAAGAGCGCGTACTCTGCGTCCGCTTGCGCTTGTATATATTCGCTCTGCCCGCCGTGGATGGGTTTCCAGGCAGACGTCGAGCGGTGGCTAACCTGCTAAGAGGTTGATAAGAGGTTGATAAGAGGTTGGTGACAGGTTTGTCGGCCAGACGAGGGAGGTGTGCGTGCCCTCGCAGTGGAGGGGCCTGGAGGTCGGGCGGCATAGCGGCCCTGAAGTATCGAGTGCGTGGTCAAGGACGGGAGAGCATTGGTGAGTGAGTTGTGGGGGTGTTGGTGAGGCGACCGTGCTACTGACGCCTCCTTTTATGCTGCAGGAGCTCTGGCTAAGCTGTCGGCGCAGTCGCGCGGAAGCCATTGTGGGTACGCAGCCATTGTTTCAAGTTTCATCGGAACATGGCACGTCGCTCACGCAGTAGGATCGGGCAGAATGGCGGGCCCATTGTCCCCCGCGCCCTCGCTTGTGCTTTCATTATACGGGGGCTACCGGCTACCACGGCGCAAAGTTGCGGAGCTTTAGCCCTTATTCCAGATAACCAATGACGGCCGAGTCCAGGTGGACTTCCTGCCGCCATTGTTCATCTACCCGTAACTCGGAGCTCTTAAGTCGTTGGCGTCCGGTGCACACGGCCGTGGGCGATCGGTTTGTGGGAGTGGATCAAACCAGGCCTTCCCCGCCGCGACGAAACCCTTCGGCGACAACTCAAGGCTTGCGACGTCGGCGGGAGCTAGGCTGTCCTATCGTCGGCTGGGTGCGATTCGGACGTTGGTATGCCCGATCAATACCCTCGCTATGTACAGGATGACGGTGATGGCTAATGCAGTTCTTTGGTTGCGCAGACCGGTCCGTGAATGGCCAGCCATAGACCCACATTGTACAATGGCTCCCGAGGAACCCCGCCTGATTGTCGGCATTCTAGCCGGGCATCTGGCGGACGCCCCCAAACCCACCCTCATTTGCCAGGGGTCGCACTCTTTTGGCAGCTGAGGCTCCGCCCGCTATTGTCCACCTACGCCCCAGCTTCCATTGATCCAGGCCTCGGAGAGAGTATAAGTACTGCCCCAGTAGCGACCTGAGGCACATCGCTCACCCATCCCTCTCACCCCGATTCCGACTACCCTACCTGATAGCATAACGCTCAAGCATCCCATGGGGACTCCACCGCCCCCAACACGCCTCTTGCGACCTTCGCGTCTGATAGACGAGCCTCTCAACCCGGTCCTCCGGCGCCTTCCACGTCTCAATATCCGACACTATCTATCTCTCTACCGAACTCGCGACTCTCCTATATGCACCCGCGCGACCGCTGCCATACGGGTAGCGAAGGGACCACTACGCGCCGAGCTGAACCATGGCGTCTACGTCCTATGGACTGAGACGACGAGCAGACCATCTCAGCGACGCCAAGATAGCGCACAAGACGCCCCCGCGGCAGGGAACAGCGCGCTATAGCGGCTGTGTTTTAACGCAGCCGCCCTTCATGGTCACTTGATAGGGCTTTACGTCCCGTAAGTAAGTACCCTCAGCGTCGCTTCGTCGTTTTCCTGTCCGTCGTACTAATGACAGTGTGCTCTGAATAGTTGATTGGCATCTGACATCGGATTGGACTCCACACACACTCACTATCTATCCACGAACTCGTCATACACTCCCGCGACCGCGACTCGCTGCTGGTCATCCGACATCTCACTCCGTCATGGGCGTCCCGCCAACGTCGACACGGCCAGTATATCGAGCTCGCGTCGTTCGCGCCAATCCCGCACCCCATCTACGGAAGCGACGCAGAGGTCGCGCGGTGCTCATCCAAGACGAGGACTGGACATCGGTCTCCGTCTACCCCCGATCGTGGAGGATCACAAGAAGGGACTTTCATTGACGCCATCGAAGAGAAGACGAGGGCCTCTGAGAGGGCAGACAACCCTGCAGGGTGCCCTCTCACGCTCTACGCGCCGCCGCTTTGATCGCCAAACTTGAACAACGTCATGCTCGCCGAGCTCTACGCGCGACACCGCTCGAGCAAAAAGGCGACCGACGACGTTGGCATCACGATCCCCGCGGAAGAAGACTACGTGAAGGCAGAAGGAGAGACACCACACACTGTTCACTCCGAGCTCGGCCATCCGCCCCTCTGTCGCAGCTGATCCTCACGCTGTCGTCTCCGTCACGGTCCGCCGTGGCCACGCGCCTGACGCGGTCATGTACAACGATAATTCCAACCACCCCCCAGCGTCCCACTGGCACCCACGCGACGCACGCAAACAGGCCAGGCGTAAAACGCATCGGGAAGGAGCGCCCCACGTGGAGGTCGCGTTCGCAGTCGTGTCCGACCTGCAGCAGCCCACTTCACGGCTGTTGCTGAACCCATTACTGCACGCCAAGCAGCATCTCACCCTCTCCGACCCGCCCCAGCTCGAGGATGACACTCCCTGGAGGCAGGTGTCATGCTCATTCGACCTTCGTATGGAGGCTGAAGGAGACTCGCTGAAGGCTCTCGCAAGGAACCTGCTGTCGACAACAGTGTGCAGCACATAACAGCTTCATACGTAGTACTTGCCCGATATCAATTACGGAACGAGTAAATAACATTCCGTTGATGTCTTTTATTTCTTTGCGACTACTCAATACTGTGAGCGACACGTGTGTGGCATACCAGCGAGTATCGGCGCCGTAGACTTGCGAGGGATGGTGTACTGTCGAGACGAATTTGGAACAAGGCCAGACCTATTCTGCCGGATACACAACGTCGGCGCAACACGAGCCCGTTGGTCGTCGCAGGAGAGCATGCTCGAGCTCGATCCCTCTTTTAGATACGAACTTGACGTTGCGCGACTCTCGTGGTCGGTCAGACGTCGATCCCTTTTGTGCACTGTGTTGCGTCTTTCCTAACGTACTACCACGCAGAGTGGCATACCGATATCCTCGCATCGCACTCGTCGTCCATTGTAGTGTGATAGATCGATACTGCAGTCTGTTATTCGCAACATGTCGTAGCCCTCAAGTGTTGATCTTCACTAACGCGGGCGCGGGCCCCGACTCCACGCCAGCCGATTCTTCCTCCGCTGTGGGCCCGGTCTCGCCCTTCGCGTCCGCGCCCGCGTCCACCTCCACGGCGGCGGCGGCGTCCGCCTTCGTCTCCGTCGCACCGACCCCTAACTTGCCGTTGGTGGACGCGGGGCCGTCTTCTGTACGCACACCACCCGCGGCGGGCGTCGACTCGGGTGCGCCGTCCGCCGCCCTGAGCACGGTCTCCATGGCCCCGTCCTCCGACCTGCCGCTTGGGGACGCGGGGCCGTCTTCCTTACGCGCGCCAGCTGCGGCGGGCCTCGACCCTCCCGTCCTGAGCACGTCGAGCCACCTGTCGACGAGCACCCCCGCGCGCGCCCGGAACCTGAACTCGCCGTCGCGCGGCACCTTGTCATCGCCGAGGGCGTGTATGTGGCGCATGACCTTGCCGATCTTCGAGAACTGGCGACCGGGCGCGCGGCGGGGCAAATGATTAATTATCAGTCACGCTGCCAGACAGACGCACCACAAACGGCGATATGGGGACGCGAACCGCGCGGGAACGCATTGCCAAACGCACGGCGGGGGGAGGGGGATTTCACGATAGCGGGGGTAGCGGCTCAAGACTCACCATCAGGTACTCGATCCGCATGTTGTCGTAGGTTTCCACCAGCGTGAACAGCTGGTCGAGCTGAGGCATGTCCTGACTCCGAGGATGAGTTGTTGTGGACGGTCGCGATTCACGCTGGGTACTCACATCCTCCTTAGGCGTGGCTTTGGTGTTCAAAAATGCCTTCTGGAGCTTGTGTCTCCATTCCCTGACTCTAAGAGCCGCGGGATCGACCATGATAGGAGCTAGGTGTTCGAGGTGCTCGATACAGGACATGGTCTGAAGGCAAGGATGGACGAAAACGCACAGTCGGCCTCGTCGTCTGTCCCGCCCGCCGTCCTCTGCTTGCCCTCGTCCTCGGATTCGACGACCGCCTTGCACTTGGGGCCGTTCTGCCTGCCTTTGGGCGCGCTGCTTAGGGGTGGGCTCAGCTGCACGGGCTTCGACTCCGCGCCAGCCGATTCCCCCTCCGCCGCGGGCTCGGGCTCGTCCTCGCCCTCCGCGGCCGCGCCCACTTCCAGTGCAGCGATGCCGTCCGCCCCCGCCCACGCGGCCCCGTCC